CGGGAGAGGGTGTGGGGTGTGGCGGGGCGCGGAGGATGCTGCGAGGCCAAATTTCGGGAAAAGGAGGAGCCCGAAGCCTCCTTCAGCGGAGCTAATCCTGCCTCGGGGAGATGTTTTGGGAGTTGTTCTCCCAACGCCGAGCTCGTCGCGGCGCGGCAGCCCCGTAGCATCTCCTGCATCTCTCTGCGCGCCCTGGCCCCTCGGCCACCGCTTCTCTCCCCTCTCCCGTTCCCTGTCCTGTCCTGCCCTCCCCTCCCGCCGGCACTAATGCGGAACGCCTGCTGCAGAGCACGTACTGCTCGCGTCACTGGCACCGCAGTGGTACCCTCAGCATCCCGGTTTGTATCCCGGCTCGCAGCACCACATCCCAGGTGTGGGTAAGGAGCAACCTGCATTTCCTGCTGGACATGGGGTGTATGAAGAACCTTCCCTTTTAAAACCATTTAAGTCAAAAAAGACCCCGAATTGTTTTACGTTTGTCACAACCTCCTCTTCCAAAAAAACCACCCAAAACAAAACAAATAAACCAACTCACTTCCTCTCCCACCCTCCAAAACAAAAACAAAACGAAAAAACAAAACAAACAAAAGCCCCAAACAGATAAAAAATATTTTATTTTCTTTTGGTCAACTCTAATTTTTCCTTGCTTTCATTGTCACCCTGGAAATTTTTCTTGAGGACCAGCAAAAGAAATAGGACCAGCTACTTCTGAGTCAGTGTTTAAGAAGAGCTGAAATGGAATATTTTGCTTTCATTATATAAGAAAAGAGGCCAAGGAAAACAGCCTGCAGCATGGAAAGCAAGTAAATTACAGAAATGTGAAAAAAACTGAAAATATGTATGTTTTTGAAGAGGACAGGTTTTAGTAGGACTGTCTTGAAAAGTACTGTCTACAGGGTTAGTTTTATGTCCCTTGAGAACAGTTTGATGAGCTTTACCACAACAATTTAAAAAAATTAATGAAATCCTACTTGCTGACATCAGAGTTGTGGCAGAACGTTTCAGGTTTTAAAAGTAGATTTTCATTACCTCAATTTTGGTCTCAGTAATTTAAAACATTTTCTTTATAAATCACTTTATGAACACACACAATGGAAAAATTACTTATGTCAATACCCATGGTACCGTAAATATAACATAGTTATTAGTAGCATTAATGGCACAAGCACTGTAAAGGTGTTTCTAACATAAAAGTGTGGCCATAAAATAATTCACTTGGTACACCAGTGAGGGCAGACTGATGAGAAGTCACTGCATCTTTTCCTATATAGCAGCTCTGCTAGCACAGTCAGTTTTTTAAGATTACAGTTCAGTGTCAAATTTAGAGTATAAGCCAGATTTGACTCTTTAACTGCTCATACTTTGGAAAGCAGAGCTGTTAGCTATGCCCAACTAAATGTACCTTGACCTCTGTTCCCTTCTGATATGCTGTTTTTATTTGAATTCTTTATATTGCTTAGTTGCTGGAATCATTAGGCTAGAGAGCTGTGGCTTTGTTAAGTCTTCCTTTCTACCTGGAGACAAAGAAAGCAAAAAAGAAATATTTTTCTTTTGATTTTCTTATTGAAATGTTTAAAATACTAACTTAAAAGTATTATATCTCATGCTTGTAGCACTTAAGATTTGTAATCACAGGCCAGGGTGTCCTTCGACTGCAAAGTATAAAGACACTGGACACAAAAATGGAATCCCCTCCTCCACTCACCCTTATTCTTTAATAATTTAAGAAATTGCCAGTGTAATAGAGTATTAACAATAGAAGTGAGTTATGGCCACATACTAAGGTTTTTTTCTAGGCCTTATACCAAGCTTTAACTTAGAATTTTCGTAAGCAGTCTCTAAATAACATATCTTTTTGAAGTGAGATTTCCAGAATTTAATTATGAAATACGTGTTTTAGTTCTGAACAACTGGCCTGACTTTTTAAAGCACCTTAATAAAAATCACTCTATCTTTCATTCATTTGATGATTCATTATTGATTTTGTTGCTGTAATCCCAAAAAATCCCATTCAAAGGTCAAGTTGAAGTTCTGAATAGGAGAACAGATGGATACAGAGTGAGATGAGCAGATGAAAGGTCAAGGAAGTAAGAATGCCAAACTGTAGGTGTAATATGTTGGCCAATTAACTTTGAAAATATCTCAAATCAAAATGTCTCATTCATTGCTGCAATTAGAAACTCAGGCTAATCATGTTGACAGGATGTGATTTGGTACTCATTACTTATGGTCTGTGACACATGACCTGAACTGTGTCAGTAAATCAGCGTAAGTAAATTCTATACCTCCAAAAAGAGAAATTTACTCACTTCTTTCCAAATGAACCCATTCAAATGGTGGTTGGGGGCAGCAAAGCAGAAAGGAGTAAAAGAAGTTCAGCAAGTTAAACTATCAGGTATTTTACACTCCCCTTCAAGACAATCCTGTCACTAAAACTACAGTAACTTAGGAAGGAGGCACACTCCACTTGTCTGTTGACTTGCACATTTTTAACCTGCAGGCGCTGGAGCATGTCAATGCCCGGCTTCTTGAGCTGTACCCTGCTGACGAAGAACGGTTTGATATAGTCCTGATGACTAATAACCATGCCCAAGTGGGAGTGAGGCTCATAAACAGCATCAATCACTATGGTAAATAAAATAATTACTGATGTGTAGAATTGCCAGCTGTTACATAATGATATGAATGAATTTTATTCTTCCTGTTCTAACTTTGGGAAAAGCAGCTTCTTTGGTATTTATTTTTGAGTGTCAGCATAAGGGAAATACTATTAGATGGAAATTGGTCCAGTACTTTAAATTTGTCAGATGTGAACCATAACTTCTGAGAAGTCCTTAAACTTTTTGATATTTGATATCTATGCTCCCTACATATACATCTTCACAGCAGTTACTCTGCTGTCTTAAGGGGAATTTTTTCCCCTAATTTCTCAATGAGAATGGGCTGATCAAACATTGTAACTGTTTGAAGTTGTTAAAATTACAATGAACATATTTTCTTTTCTTTAAGTTTACTGTAAGCTAGGCTAGTGTACCTTTCCAATGGGTCCTTCCACAGGTTTGTAGTGTCAAGGCAGAGGCACACCTCATGCTGTTTTTACTTTAGGCTTAACAATTGAACGTTTCTGTATGACGGGAGGAGAGAGCCCCATTGGTTACCTGACCGCATACCTCACAAACCTGTACCTCTCAGCGGATTCTGACAAAGTGCAGGAAGCTATAGAAGCAGGTTTGAATTGATTTTATTTTGCTGTCTGTTGGAATCTTTTGTTATCTGTTGAGCGTGTTCAAAAATTACAGATCTTGTGTGTCTTTTACAGAAAGTAGTGCTTCTTCATCAAATGCAGAAAGTCACCCCATCATATGGTGCAAGCTTATCACTTATTTTTACTCACCAAGTAAAAATCACTTGATACAGTTCCTCTCTGACCCTTCAGCCTGTTAATAGTGACAGCTTAAATCACCCTGCACCTTTGTTCTCCCTTTCACAAAGAAACAAAACTCCCACCTCTATTCTTCTGTTTAAATAGCATCATCTTTTTATCAAACTTAAAGAAGCAACTTCTGTGTCCCATAAGGAGTTAAAATGTAACAAATACTTTGATTGAGTGGTCTCCTTGGGACTTCCTGCTTTTTTCTCATTTGCAGGACAGCTTGGGGACCATTTTTATATAGTTTAATATGAAAGTGGAAGGAAGCTTGTCCAAGAAGTTTTGGCTTCCATGCATTTGTGTTACAGAATAACCATCTGTAATTATCTTTTGTGATTGGTCATGCTCACCATATATAAGGGTCACCACCAATAAGTTGTTGGAACCAAACTGCTGATGGTTTCATGACTGACTTTACAGAACATGCTAACTGAAGGTCTCTGATCTATTTTCAGGCATTGCATCAGCTACAATGTTCTCTGCCAACAAAGATGTTGCTTACTCAGACACACAGCTGAGGGTGGCTTTTGATGGGGATTCTGTTATCTTTTCTGATGAATCAGAACAGATTGTCAAAGAGCAAGGATTAGATAGATTTTTTGAACACGAAAAGCTGAATGAAAATAAGCCTCTTGCACAGGTTTGTATTTCTTGGATTTCTTGTTTCTTGTTCTTGTTTCTTTTGGAGTTTCCAAAAGATCTGATGACTTTCATTGATACTGTATTTCTCCAGCTTTCCCAGTGTGGATGTGTTCTTTGTGAAAGCTGATGGCCTTATTTATTTCTTTTTTTGAGGATAATCTTTAAAATGCATGTTTCACATAAAAATTTCTCTGAGAGAACTGCATATGTAACACAGTGACTTACAGCTGCCTTTTAATGGTAACATTAGAAAAATAAATGTTAGTACTGATTTATTTGATTATATTTTATCAGACTGTACGTAATGTTAATTTTAAACACTGAGATATCCTGGTCATTAAAACAGGATATTATCTCCTTATTCCCAAGTAGAACTATGCCATTTATCTAAAAACACAAATATTTTAACATTAGGTTAAACTGAAAGACTAATTCTGCTAATGTTAAAAATGGTATAAATTCAGAATAAAAGCTTTATTTATGAAAGTACTGGACAGTACATTATATTGCAATTTGAACAAAAATGTCATTTGTTTCTATTAATTGGAGTGTTGTATAGTCATTAGTCTGGAAAGAGTTCATTGATGGCTTTGTTATTAGGTCTTCTGCTGTTTTTTGTGCGGGGAAAAAGGCTTACAGCTCATGGTTCATAGTAACAAGACTTCAGTGTTTTCAATGAAAAATTTTTTAAAGACTATAGTTAAAAGTTAATATTGTGAGAGATCTTGTAAGCCTTAATGAGAATTATTTTCCTGCTGATCCTATCATATAGTGTTATGGTTTTAACTTTTTTCCCAATGTATGGATTCCTAGTGAGGCTACGGCCCCATTTGGAGATGTTACATGGAGAACTGGCAGAGTAGCACAGCATTAGGGAAAGGAATTCTGTAACTGGAGGTTTGGAAGAAAGCAAATGAATGATTTGGGGAACTGTGGACATATACTAAATATGCTTCTGGTATGTCATACTCAGGGTCCTTTGAAGGGTTTTCTTGAAGACCTGGGAAGACTCCAGAAGAAGTTCTATGCAAAAAATGAACGATTAAATTGTCCTATAAGGACCTACTTGGTCACAGCCAGAAGTGCGGCGAGCTCTGGAGCCAGAGTGCTGAAGACTCTCCGTAGCTGGGGTCTGGAGATTGATGAGGCACTTTTCCTAGCAGGAGCACCTAAAGGACCAATCCTGGTGAAAATTCGCCCTCACATTTTCTTTGATGACCAGATGTTCCATGTCGAAGGAGCACAGAAATTAGGCACCATAGCTGCACATGTCCCCTATGGCATTGCTCAGAAGTACCACAAAGCTACATGACTGGAGGGTGCCATTAAGGATAAGGTTCTTAACTCAGCCAGCCCCTAATCTACCAATAGTTTCATCTGAAAACCTCTACATTTGTGTATTGTGAGCACTGTGTTTAAAGATTTAACTTTTGGCTAGAACAGCCTTTAAAGGAAGTATTTTTAATATTGGTAAGTTTTTAATAGAGTTATTTTAATATAATTCTTAAGCAGTTTAGATATTTTTACCTGTCTGTATCTAACACTGGTTTTGATATTAGGAGAAGATTTGTACTGTTTTTATAGCTTAAGATGTATTCTGAGAGACAGGATGGTTTTATTTTATCTAAAAAAATTGTTGACGGGTTATTTATAAGAAAATTCATGCTGCAGTGTTGGTTCTTGGCAGTTATTTCTGAAGTTCCCAAAAGCACAGTTTACATGTAACTGTTTACCTGTTGCTGGTTTACTGGTTAAATATGTGTTCAGTAGGTCTGTCACAACACAGCTTTGGCTTCTAGTAAAATATTATTGCATTTGGTCATGTTTACATGTATTTTTTCTATATTGTTTTCTTATCTTAATAAAGCTGGCTTTACAGAACATTGTCATTTTTCTGTGTTGAGGTTTTAGCATAATTTCCTAGGCAGAGTTTGTGTAATCAGAATGTTCCTGATGTTTAGGACCAAAAGTGACCACTTTCAGTCAAATCTGTGAGCTAGAGGTCTCACCTTGACCCAACATACTTCACAGACCTGGGCAGAAGTCTGAGATGCTGTGAGTATCTTGGCTGGTATAAAGGCTACACTTTAGAGCACACCTTGATAACAGCAGATAATCTACCTGGAAATAATGCTGTTGATAGAACTACTTTTTTCTTAACTAGATTCCCTTCGGATTTACAGCTGTTCTGTGATCTGCGTGTACTAACTTGGGCAACTTGCAGTGAGTTTCCAGGGAATAGGTGTCTGTTGCTACATGACTTGATATTTACACCATAGGTGTATTCTCTCTTTTTTATGCTAAATTTCTGTATCTCGTTATCCATTTAACTGATATCCAAATGACACCACTAACATCTGTCAGGTGGTGTTTGTTCTCTTTCTCTCCCTAGTGGAACAACTGTCCTGTTTTATTATTTATTTTTGTCATATATTCAACCAGAAGAGACAAAACCAAAAGAATGTGCTTTGCAGTGGGAGTAGAAATGGTGAATCAAGCTTGTCATGATCTGTGGTTCCTGGGTGAATTTGGCCCAGAATCTCACATTAGCCTCTGAAAGTTTGGTCTCTGTCCGGATGAACTGTCCTGTTATTGCAGAAAGCTCCTCTGCATCATTTATGGTTTCCCTCCCAGGAACACAGGCAATCATTTTAATGTTCTGGGTCCAAGCCACAAAGTTCTTTGGAAGCAAAGGCAAAAGCCTTGATCCTGCATGAAACACGAATAGAGACTGTTGGAAAGGTTTTCAAGTGTTCACACCAGTATGTGATGTTGATGGGATGCACTGCAGATTTCTGATGTACTTGGAGCTTCATACGTGCTAAAGGCTTGGTGCCCAAAATGTATCACATTTCCCAGCCCAGCCAGGAGGTGAGGAAGACATGAATTAACTGAGGCCTGGTCATTGTCTGCCAGGATGGGATAGAGTTACCTCACCAAATGGAGATTATGAAAAATGTTATTAGCAGATGTTTTTATGTGAGAGCTCAGAGTCCACAAGGAATTCAAAAGTATTCCTTAGCTGTGGAATATAAATTGTGTGTACCACAAAAGCATGGCTACAAATTTCAGAAAGACCAGTCCTGCCTTTTTGAAGCAGAACATGGATCAGCTGTTCTTCATCCCTGCATTATTAGAGCTGTAGATGCTGGGAGCAGGAAGTAAAAACAGCATTTGACTCTAACCAAACAACTACATCTTCGTAATGAAAAGGTTAATGGGATCCTTAATCCCTATAGAAGTGTAGAGGTGAGTCTCATACCTGACAGAGTAAGCATGCAAATCAGTGAATAAATTAGAAGCTGAGTCATGTGTTTTATTATGTTTACCTTTATTTCCAATGAACCATCCACCTACAGCAAGAATGAAGCCTACTGGCCAGAACACCAGAGCTTCCAAGTCTTTTTTTGATCTGTGCACACACGGTACTATGAGACTGCCTCTTGCAGTGTCCTCCTGACAGCACTAAGGCATGTGTGAAAAGAGTTCACAAATTTACATAGCAGAATTTACATTCTTAGACACAGAATTCAAATTGACATTAAAGTTCAGAAGCTGATGTTAAGGCCCACAATCACTTTTCCTAATTAGTTGAGCAAAATGACCTTACATGTTTCAGATCAGACGCTGCCTTTTAATTGTCAGGCTACTGTCCCAGGCTCGATGGCTGCTTGTCTGCATATCCAGCTGGCAGCATGGTGGGGGAGTAGAGACCGACTAGTTCATGCAAGTACCTTCCAGACAAATCTGGATGTTTGGGGAGAATTAGGCTTGCCAAGCAGCCTCTGCCTGTTAAAATTATTTTCTTCTGCTCCAAGGCACAGCTTGGCTAGTGGACCGAAATAATCTTTTTCAAGAAAATTCTATGAAGTGGGGTGGGAGCTGAGGGAAAGTGTATTCTATTTTTGCAGACATAGAAGAGAATTGTCTCTTAATAGCATTCCAGTCCACAAAACAAAACAAACAAGCAAACAACAACCACAAAACTCAACAAAAAAATGTCTTGCTTCTCACGCTTATCAGGCTACCATGAGTTTATGGCCTCGTGACCCTAAGCCAGTCACAGTTAAAAGAATAGAAATATTTTTCAGTAGGGGAATAGAGAAAACTGTCCTTTATCAGCCTGTTTACAACACTGGAAGATGGACTCATGAAAAAGAAATTGTCATCCTAGACAAAATCTGGAGGAGGATTAATAATAAAACAGATGAATTCTGTGTGGAAACAGAACTCTGTCAGGGAAACCCAGTTCTTGTTCCCTTAGCTTCCAGGTTCCTGCACTGCAAAAGAATCCATGAAAGACAGTAAGACAAATGGGAATGTCTCCAACTGTTACCAATCCATGTGGACAAAAATGTTAGAAATAAGATTCTGAGGGTGACTTCAGATTTTTGTTTGTCTGTTTATTTACAAAACATATTCTCAGAGTGTGTTAGCTATTTCCCACCAGTTACCAAGACATCATAAACCCATGTTCCCAGTTTCTTCCCATCTTTAAGACACCCTTTCAATTTCCAGGCTAGTATGTCATTTGGAAAAGCCAAAATATAAAGTATTTCAGATAAAAAAATTGGAGATGGTCATCAACACATCTTCCAACATGCATTCTGGACTGTGATTTGTTCTGAGGAAGTGGGATTCAGAGGGTTCCTGCATCCCGAGGAGGATCCTCAGTTACCCCCTCAGGCTTCTCTGCCAGATCCTGTAACCTGCACTGGCCTGCAGTATTGCTAAACACAACCTTGAGCGCAATAGAGGGGTACAGAAATCTGTGGAACAGGTCAATGTCAGAAGAAATAATTTCCAGTTATTATGCTGAGTATCTGGGACCAACATCTGGATGCACACATCATTCCTGCCTACATGAGCAGCTTCTGATCACCATGAGCTCCTGAGCACAATGCTCCTTGCACTGAAGGCTGGACTGACGTAACAAACACAAGCAGCACCCTCGAAGCAGTGGCCTCCCCAACACATCTGCAGCCTTCTAAGTAAGGACATCAGAGATAACTGCCAGAGTCCTCACAGCCAGGTGATGAACAGCAGATTCTTTAGCTCCCTCAAGGATTTCCTACAGAATTAATCTGTTCCTGTAACAGAGCATTTCCTAGTTCTCGTATTTTGACATCTCATAAGCAACTACTCTTCCTTCCTCATGGTCCTTGACTGGGCGTGACTGCAACACCTCCCTGTAAGTTATTTACTACGAGAAGAACGTACAGAAGAACATCCCAATATGGCTCTTACACCATGTTAAGGATGTCAAAATCCATGTTTCATATGCAGACACAATGGTGTGGCCTGAATTGAACAGCCTTTGGTGTAACCATGAGGCTCACAATGGAGTGAAGGGCAGAAAAGAAGAGTGTTTTCTGTGGTGAAGACTAAGACAAAAGAGGTCTGTCAAAAAACTCAGTGTTTAGATGTGGTGCTTATACAGCCCTTAAACTGCCTGAGAAGTGTGAGAGACAGTCAAAAAAGACATGGTAAGGGTACTTCCAGAAGAATCTGCTGTTTCTGCTGCGGTGACATGAGCTGAGGTCAGCCTCAGAACAGACTGCAGCCATTAATAGCCTGCAGGTAGCACCAACGTGTTCTTGGGAGCTTGCTATTGCAAATAGTTGTCATGTCCAGACAAGCCACAAGAAACCTGATTAAAGGCTCATGGGTTTCCTCTTGGGTTTCTCAGTCATTTCCTCAAACGTGCCAGGTCTTGACTCAGGACAGACATAGTCCTTAGCAGCTAAGTCAAGCTCATTTCTTGTCTCCCCTACAGAATATTGTCTCCCTGCACTCTATTCCACTGCATGCTGGTCCCTAGGTCCTCATCACAAACTTCTCTTTATCTGTCTTCTTTTGTCCTCTTTGACTATCTTATCTCTAAATCTGCACTGAACTCCAGTATTGTGGGTGGTTTGTTTTGCTGTTGTTAAACAATTTTTTTTTTTTTTTTAACTTACATTTCTCTTAATCAAAATTTGGTTACCTTTTAATTTTCTCTCTATACATTCCTACTAGACTCTTCCATGGCTAGGTGGAAAGATTTTTGAGTGGAGGAACTGCAGTGGCCATTCCTTACTCCCTGAACGGGTTCATGCTGCCACGGTTGGGATCACCAGGGTCTGGGATTAGTAACAGTGTCTGGAAACATGACATGGAGTCGATGGCTGGCAACAGATTTTGGGCTAACGATTCAAAACAAATCTGGCAGAGCTGAGGAGCTGCCCAAGAGCTTCAGTGCCAACAACCGAAGAGGTTCAATCAGGCCCCAACCTGTGCAAGTACTTGGGGTTATTCCCCGCCAGATGCAGCACCCTACACTCGGACCTATCGAGCCCCACCAGGTTTCTCTCCGCGCAACTCCGCAGGCTGTGCCCGTCCCGCAAAGGGCAGCAGAGCCCTCAGGTGTCGCCGCCCCGTCCCGTCCCGTCAGCGCCGTGCCGCGGGCCCCCGTCCCCGCCCGGCCCGAGGGCAGCGCGCAGGCT